TTCCTCAGGAATGGATCAATGGGCTTATTGAGCAGCAGGACTTCTGGGTACACGACTTAATTAAGCGATGTGGCTGGTCTACAGCTAATTAATTAATAAAATTCATGATTCTGATGCCCTGAACGCACGGACTTTTGTCCCCATGTTCGTTAGCCTCACTGAAGATATAGGCTACGTCCAATGTCGTCAGCTTGACATTTGGTTCATCGATTTGTTTGGCGTTCCTTATAAGATCAGGAATTGCTGCTAGGCCATATTGGTTGATAGCGGTCCTCCAGTATGTCTCGAGGTCGTCTTGGTATTTTCGATCATCTGGATCAACGTTGTTGAATTGCTGTCTCTCCAATTGACGCTGTTCCTCCCAGGGCAGATCCGCTCGTTTGTAAAGGGCCATGCGTGACGGTAGCGTCCCAAGTTGGAGTCGCCATCTGAGCTTCGAGGCATCCAAGACCCGAGGTTCGAAGGTTTGTTGATGGCTTTCGACATTCCTCTGTCGCATTCCTTGCCGTTACCACAGCCCAATTCTGAGGTGATCCGCATGATTGCATGGTAAAGTAAAGCCAGAGGATCAATCATTGCCGCCCTTTCAAAGTAGGGCGATGGATGGACTTCTCGTCCTTTGCTCGTTTCTGGGGAGAATCCATTGTCGAAACCTGGAAGTGCGCAATGCTCCGACCCGCTCAGGTGGCCTCTATTCTCTTTTTAAGACCTCAAGTATTGCTTTCCGTGTGCTAGGTCTTCTTCAAATGCATATTCAATAGTCGTGAGTTGAGTTTGAATTCGAAGTTGCGTCGTAGGCGCATCTTCCACGTATCCGCTACTCTTGTGGGATGTTCCTTCTGGAGGAATGTTCTGACCCTGAAGCGGGCGCAGCTGATCCTAGCCGCTTCAGGCTTGGGCTTCTTTGTGGCCGGCCCAGCACCACCAGCTCACTCCCGACTCTCTTCACTCTCCAAATTCATTATCTTAAATAACATCAAAAATCCTAGTGAGATTTCAAGTCCGCAAGAGCAGCACGAGAAGGGATTGGAGAACGTAGTCCGAGTTCCATCAACTTCTGCTACGTCGCTGCTGATAGCAGATGTCCGAATTGCGACACCCGGGAAATGTCATCCTCAGTCGCAGGGCCTGAATGGCTCTGCTCGGATCTTTTCGTTCACCATGTTCAATCATGGTCCGTCGGTTCTCTTTCCTGCTTGTTCTGCACCACGAATCGACTGAATTTGCTCGGCTTGCAAGCAGGATTAATTCGAGTTGTACGAGAGTCTCCTTCCGAAAGCCAAAGATTGATGACAAGAAAACCTAGTCGGGACAAAGTTCATCCCATGCCATCAATTATCAGTATTGGAAGAGGGGAACAACATGCCGCCCTCAGGCCAGAGCCACCCTTGAAGCTCACTTACCCCTCCACGAACAAATCGTTTGGATTATGGCGATCCATGATCATCGATTTCGTAAGGGTACAACACATCCTCATTCTTTCTTCTCGGCCCAATGTTTGAGTATCATTTTTTGGGTTCCAGTACTGCTTTCATTCAAAGAACACTCCCCAAGACCTTGCTCTTCAAAATAGCATAGCGACCTCTCTAAGTTTCCGCAGCCAACATGGATATCAAACAAATCATGACACAGCAGCATCTTGCTATCATAGCAAATTTGCAAGAGCTCACAGCTGCTGTGGGTGCATATTCTACAAAATTCGAGAGTAGTGTTTCTGTAGATGATCCAGTTGCTATGGGAGAGCTTGCACAATCCCACGTCGACATGCTTGGGAGCGTGAAGCAGATGCAGAGTGCAGTTTATGGCCCGATCAACATGGTCACATTACACTTTGAGGAAGCAAGTTCCTTTACTCTGTCCAAAATCTCCTTCATAACAAGCTTTAGTTCTTCCGCTCGGCGGCGTTCAGAAGCCTCTTGGAAATGGGAGTCGTTGATGCCTTGCCAGTTGATGGTAGTGGCATGTCGGCAACTGACCTCGCCGAGAAACTAAAAGTTGATGAAGAACTTCTCGGTCCGTGAAGAACACCTTCAACTCGGATTGGGTTAACAGTGCCTAGTCCGCTTGTTGCGTATTGTTGTGCCTACATTTTTCACCGAGTCGAGTATTGAGGTCTACGCTCATACGCCAAACTCCTTGGTATACCTATTCCCTCCGTTGAGGGGAGGCTTCATAATGATGTGAGCTTGTCCGAGATAGTTGGAAAACTCTATAAGACACTGATTGTAATTAGGTATGATGAATATGGTCCTTCAAGTGTCAAGCTCTCGGAATTCTTGAAAAAGAATGGGTATCAGAATCCAAATTCGTTGACGAATAATCCTTACACGTATGCCCACGACACGAAAGGCCTGAATATGTTCGAATTCCTCGCCAAAGATCCTATCCGATTCAAAAACTTTAATGATGCAATGCAAGCCAAGAACATGCAAAGTTCATGGCCATACAATTTGTTTCCATTCAAGGAGGAGCTCAGCAAAGTCGAAACCACAGATGAAACTGTATTACTGATCGATATCGGCGGTGGAAATGGACAAGCTGTAACTGCTATTCGAGAGCTATGTCACAGCATCAAAGGCAGGATGATTCTGCAAGACCAGGCCCAAGTGATTGAAGAAATCACTGATCCGCTACCTAACGTGGAGAAAATGCCACACGATTTCTTCGCAACACAGCCAGTCCAAGGTACGAATTAAGTTATAGTACGGTACTCCTGTTGACATATAAAGGTGCTCTGATCTACTACATCCGCCGATGCTTGCATGACTGGCCCGAAAACGAATGCGTGGCCATCCTCAAGAACATCGCCGCCGCCATGAAGCCGAGAACCTCGAGACTTCTCATATCCGAGATCGTCATGCCGCAAGGTGAGATAGACAATGAGACGTCGTGGTACGACATTTGTATGTTGATGTTCAGCGGTATGGAGCGATCGGAAAAGCAATGGAAGGCTTTGCTTCACAAGTCTGGCCTCACACTGTTGCAAATACATGGCGCTATCGGAGGCAGTAACCACCGCGTGCTTGAAGCCGTTCTCAAGCAATCGACATGCATCATCTGATGATTCCATTTACTCGGAGTTCGACTTGGAGGAATCGGGAACTGTAAGAGAAGGTGTGTTTGCTGCGCCTCTCGCTTTCGCATATACTCAGTAGTCTGTGTATTTATAGCAAACTATCGCTGCGCCAACTCAGATCAGGGTGGTTTAGACTCAGCTCAACTCCATCAGGGGTTGCAGTGCAGCTACATGTCATTCGCACTTCATTTTCCTCGGCTTCGGAAACCTGGAATCACGTGAAGCAGGTGGTCCTTCATTGCTGCGCGAATAGTTCTCCCGTTCGCAAATTCCTTGGTCATTCGGCGCTGGAAATCTTACGAAAAATAAAGATCTATGGAGCCGCAGAGCGTTCGGACCCAGCTTTCGATGCGAGAGAGCCCTACGACCGAGGAATATCACAGCCTTCGCCAAAGCCTCTTATCAGGAATCACTAGCCACAGTAGCCAGCGTGAGAACCACATTGTATGGTAGAGCCATGAATCTTGGTATATATCCCCCTCAAGTTCTATGTTTTGTTATTCTTCATTCCATAACCATCAAATTCAAAACAACAAGCTCATCTTTCTTTCGTCTCTTTTCCTTGAGTCTTTTCATTTCTGTTATCACACAGTCGTTCAATATCATTCTATCCTATTTTCAAGCCCTCTTGCTTAATTCGAAGAACCAATCCAAAAACCCGAAATCAACATGTTCTCCTCAAGCATCATCGCCGCCCTCACCGTCCTCTCCACCCTCTCCATGGCAGCCCCAACACCAGCCTGCCACGACTGCCTAGGTCCTTCTGGCCCTCAATCTCTCGTCAACCCAGTCGTCAACATCGAAGTCGTAACCTCCCTCGGTCTCGATCCAAACAAGACTTCCTACCTTGTCCCAACATCTATCAATGTCCCTACTCCTTGCTATGCCTCTGATGGAGTTTCCCGCTGCACGACTTCAGAGCTGATCTTGTCCACCGTTGCCAATACTACGGATACAACCTACATCGAATGCCGTGTCTACGAAGACTTCAAGGCCACGATCGGTGGCACGGTCTTCAATCAGTCGATGCCAGTTCAGATCTCCACCAACACGGACTTTGTGGGAAGTTGGTTGTGTTACATTGTTTAATTGGCTGGGGCTATGATCCGGAGGTTGGTCGAATATGTGGGACGCCGGGAATTATGTTTGAATTAGACTGTCGATTTTGGAATTCTGTTTAACTTCATGTGCGCCATTCGTTCAGCGGTATATAATAATCATGACACCGTCGTCAAGTTTCGGTCTAAGAATGAAAGAGTGTCACCAAAAATGTTGATTAACAGAACATACTACAACGAAAAAGCTGCAGCAAAAGAATTCCAAGTTTACCAATAATAGCATACAACTAAGCCAATGTGTATACCCCTCTCGACATTTCCGTCACCCTTTCTATCAATCTACACGCACCATGCACTTGACCTAGGAGGGGCCCGTAGTCTGCAAAGTGACAGGGATAGCACCATCCTTGTGAGACCCATCCGCATTCCACTTTATCAAGTATTGGTCGGTACCCTCAATTTCCTCAGCCCAAAACTCCGAAGTCAAGACACTGTCAGCTTTGTACTGGACGACTGAACCGTAAGTCAAGAAACCCGAGGTAACGGTACCAGATGGAGTGGTCCCGTTAATCACAAATCCTACGGGCTCGTAGGAATCATCGCTTGGAATGATATAGAACACCCCCGAGGTTGTGGTGGTGCTGTTGGTGGAGTTGAGGGTCACAGTCCAGTCAGCCGTACCCTTAGGAGAAATTGACCCTAACGAATGGAAGTCCCCAGTCAGTCGCATGTTCTTATTGTCTCTGATGTATGAATCACTAAGGCTGAGTTGTCTTACATGTAATGGAAGATAGGTTTGCAGGCTGAACTTCAGCGTTGGAGACGTAGGCATTTCCTGAGTGTGTTAGGAATCTCTCTCGACAATGGAGTTTGTACCAAGTGATCAAATAGAATGTAAGTCATACCGCTTGAATCAGCAAGAATTGGTCGACCAGCAATGGTGCTGCCGTAGGCATAAATTGTAACGTCGCTGGTCGCAGCGCGCTTGTTCTCGGCATGGGGAATGGCTGAGGCGCCAGCAACCAAGAGCCACTGAACCAAAGGGGAGAGAATCATGGCAAATAGGTGCCGATGAGAAGCCTAAGTTTGAGAACGAAGTTTGGAGAATGAGTGAAAGTGAATTGTTGCTGGTTTTTGGCGTCTTTGGAATAGATGTATAGTTGAGTGATCAAGTGAGTAGGAACCGCCGTAGGGATATAACATAAATCCAAATAGGGCATTTTTGCTCTAGCCCAGTACTGCATGCGAGTAGTTGTCGTGCTGCCAAAAAATCAGTGTTGAAATTCGTCGCTCGTTCGAGTGCTCCACTGTCGACGCTCTCCACGCGTCGATGGAACGCCCAATCCGTACAACTGCTTCCAAGTTGTCAAGTCCCGAAGTAGGTGTCAGGGGGAATAGCCAAGAAACGTGTGGCCATTATGGGGCCGAGATCTGCAAGCCGGACCCAGGAAATCACACAGGAATAGAATGGTGGAGGTTGCTAGTATGTTGACGACTTGGATAGCGTCTCAATCGCACAGGTCGGGCAGTGGGTCGTCCTCGGTTAGTAGTACCCGTCTTGGCTATGTGATTAGACTATTGTTCCTGCAGATCACCGGGATGACGAATCCAGGGTCCGGGTCTTTACTCGAGCTCGAGCTTGAGTAAGGTGTTGGACATCAATGACAGTGAAACTTTGAAGGAATTTGGTAAAATCTTACCGTAACATTCATGATATACAAGAACGTCGTCGAGAACTTCTCAATTAATTAAATATTCTTACATCCAATCGTATCCACCTGAACAATATATATGGCGCTTCAAGCATTTTCTTCGCACAGTTTTGTTCGCATGGTATCCTCTAAGGGAGTGGCGGCAATTCCTAGACAAGACTACCCCTATCGTGGCTCCGGTTATTGAGAGGGCACGAGCTATTGAATACGGTCTGTGGACATGCTTACGTGGAGAAGCACTTCATCATGTGGGCAGACGAACGTTCTTTTTCCGTACCGTGTACGGTTGTATGCTCCTGGGTGATACAATGAGCTATTTTGAAATTGGCATGAGTATTAGTGCTCCGGAGACGAGGCAAGCACTAATTGTTCCGGCGATTCAATCGTTTACATGTTCCAAATATGGCTTTTGAGGAGTTGAGTCATGAGAATTTTGAGCATCGAGATGTTGTTATAAAATAGTCTCTTCTGCAGCAAGTCGAGGACGATCAGCTATCACAGCTTCCTCATTCATTGAATCTTCACTCTTTCCAGCATTTCTTATCTGTCTTCTCTTAATAAAATATAATGCGTTTTCGAAATGTGCTGGTGTCTTTGGCATTAGCTTCTACTACTCTAGCAGCCCCGAAGGCCCTCCCTCAGTCTGTCCATTCAGTGTCTAAGAGATGTACAAATTCTGCGACTTATCGTGCTTGTTGGGGAGGTAAGATTATCTTGAGAACTTTGGCTCTATATCAGCTAATCCTTGTACAGACTATGATCTTTCGACAAATGTAAGTCGATTAGAAACTCTGAGGATCGAAACATCCCTATCTGAGACTGCGTCACTAGCGTGTACTGTTATACACTGTCCTTTTGATGAAACTATTTAGTTCATAATTAATTTTGCTTTTTATTGCAGTATTACGATGTCGTGCCAGATACTGGCGTCATCCGGGAATACTGGTTTAGTATCGAGAACATCACTTGGTAAGTTAACTTCTATTTCAGCTGTTTGGAAGTTTAGAAGTCAAGTTCGACTCTTCAGGCTATTAAGTTTCCCTTGAAGACCTGCATATTAACCTCTAGTTAGTGCCCCTGACGGCGTCTCGCGTGTTTGTCTTGCAGTTAACGGCACTATACCTGGCCCAACCATCATTGCTGGTTGGGGTGACACCATTGGTGAGTTATACTTTATTAGCCATTCAAACGTCTAGGAAGTGTATTGACTCCTCGCAGTGATCCATGCTACCAATAATATGGAAAACAATGGATCCAGTATCAATTTCCACGGTATTCGCCAGAACTATACGAACCTGATGGATGGTGTTCCTTCAGTCACACAATGCCCAATCGCCCCCGGCACCACCTACACCTACACGTGGAGAGCGACCCAATATGGCTCTTCATGGTATCACTCTCATTTTTATGTTCAAGCATGGGATGGTATTTTCGGAGGAATCCATATCAATGGACCAGCTACTGCGAACTACGACGTTGATGCGGGAACTTTAACCCTGGGCGACTGGTCTCACTTGACGGCAGATGTAGAAATGGTCTCAGCAATTCAAAACGGACCGCCTACTCTCTCTAATGGTCTGATCAATGGCACAAACACTTGGAATGAGTCCGACGGAACTGTCATTGGCTCACGTTTCGAAATGGATGTCGTTGCTGGGCAATCCTATCGTCTTCGAATTATCAATGTAGCGGCTGACTCGCAAATCAAATTTTCAATTGATAACCATACTCTGGAGGTCATTTCAACCGACTTTGTCCCTATGTACGTATTTTATACCCTCAATTTTGTTTTTTTCAGGATGTGGATATGAAGTCAGGAGCCTCATTCTCCATCTTTTCACAAAACCTAGCAATATCACATACTAATGCTCCCGGCAGTGTTCCGTATAGCACGGACGTGGTTTCTATTAGCATAGGCCAAAGATATGATGTTGTCTTTACTGCCAACGCGACAGCAGATAACTACTGGCTACGAGCTGTCATACAAACTGCTTGCAGCGACAATGAGTACCCGGATAATGTCTTAGGTATAATTCGGTACGATGCAGACTCAACAGATGACCCGACTTCGAGTGGTACAGACGCCGCTGTAACCAATGGTCTTACCTGCGAAGATGAAGATGCTTCTCTACTTGTTCCATATCTCGCTATTGTTGCTTCGGACGAACCAGATTACTCTGACGACTTTGCGGTCCAACTTGTAGAGGCGTCCGTTGGTGGATTGTGGGAAATGGGTAATAGCTCATTCTTCAACTATTGGGACTATCCGACAGTGCTTCAAGCTTACGAAGGCAACGACACTTGGACTGATGGACAGCAAGTGTACGCTTTCCCTGATGCGGATCGATGGGTCTACTTCATCATTCAAACTACCAATGCACAACCACATCCGCTACATCTCCATGGCCACGATTTTTGGGTGATCGGGCAGGGGACTGGAACGTAGTACGTACCATTCCTAGCAATCAACTTTGCGGATAATTTATTAATTCTAACCACCATGCAGTGACTCTGCCACTGCAAATTTGACCCTCGTCAACACCCCTCGAAGAGATGTCGCGCTACTCCCGGGAGATGGATATCTCGTCATTGCATTCTACACTGACAATCCGGGTGTAAGCTCTACTTCTTCTCCAGGTCACCGCCGATGGCTAACAAGACTGGTAGGCTTGGTTGATGCATTGCCACATTGCTTGGCACACCACGGAAGGTCTAGCTATTCAACTCCTGGAGCGAGAGGCAGACTTCGTACCTCTTATTGACGATACGATTTTGAACTCTACTTGCGCTTCTTGGGATGCTTACACACCTGAATCGGTGGACGACAGTGTCCAAGCATCTCCAGTGTACGACAATGGTATTTAAACTTTGCAATGCGCTCTCGGAGCAGATGCGTTGCTCGCAGAACCGACAGAGGGTATGGAGGCGCGGAGTAATGGGACGGGGTATCACTAGTTTGTCTGATAGATAGGCCTTTTTTTCTTAGTTCTCGAAGGCGACCTTGATCTTGACTTTGATACACAGAGCTTAGGCGTTTGGATTGAACAAGAATCTATCATGTGACCTCTCGAGTACGAGACCGATACGAGATCGAGTCCTTGATACCAAGACATGTCAACGTCCTCTGATATTATAAACTTCGTCTCATCAAAGCTGTCAATTTGCCGAAGCTTCGCCTGCAACAATGTCCAAACAAGACTGTTACAGCTTGGCGATCCACCACCAAACACAGTTCGTTTCGCCCACGAGAAACAAGCTTTTTGGCCATTGGCAATAATCCGAATTCGAGACCAGTTTTTCATCCTCCATACATGCAAGCACTTGCGTACGACTGGAAGGTTATCTGTGAGGCAGTCAAAATATCATCGGATGCGGATCAAACCGACTTGGCAAACGCAAAGTTCAGATGCTATAAACGGATAGACGTCCAGCCCATGCAATTTTCTGTTCATCTCAATATTGCTCTTTCCTGCTCATACATTCGCTGTGCTGGCCACTCATTTCATCTGTCACTCTCTTCAATACCGTCATAATGATCTCAAATATCCTCCTTCTAGGCACACTTGCCTCCACAGCCTGGTCTCACGGCTTAATCACCTCAGCTCCATCGCGGGCCGTTGGGCCGGCGATGTCAGCGGCATGCGGAGCTTCAGTAGCTGCACTCGTCCAAGCCGACAATACCAGTCACGTAGAAGGCATGCCCGAAGCCGCTGCAGCAGAAGCAGGATTCAACAGCACCGCATGCAACGTTTTCCTATGCAAGGGGCTTCAGTTCGCGGATAACACTGCCCAGGTGCAGAACTTCACAGCTGGCCAGGTCGTTAATATGCGAGCAAGTATTCCAATTCTTCACGAAGGACCAATGAATGTCAGCGTCGTCAACACGAAGACTAATACTGCCATTGGGGGCCCGTTGATCAGCTTCGTAAGCTATGCAGATGAGTCTTTGGCAGCACTTCCTGCGAATAACACCAACTTCAATGTCACCATCCCAACAACTTTGGGATCTACTTGCACTGTGGCTGGTACTTGCGTAAGTTTAAGCTGCTTGGATATGAAGTTGATGCTGACAATATGCAGGTTCTTCAATGGTTCTGGTTCGGAACTGCCGCTGATCAGACATACGAATCTTGCGTCGATATGGTTGTAGCTGCATGAAATACTACGGGGGTAGAGAAGGGGTAGAAGTGTAGTGCATCGCATAGAAGACAATAGAAAATATATCTAATGATTGTGAACGCAATGATGTATTGTGTATTCTTGAGGGAATCTCGAGATGGAATGACCGCTGCATGCGAGTGCAGCAATTCTTCCTGCAAGCAGAGCGAGAAGAACAAAGAAGAGGATAAGCTAATGAGCAAAAACATCATGCAAGTTCACGTACTTGAAGGAATCGACAATTATCAAGAAGATGTTGCAATGTTGACCGTCAAGGTAGATATCACTTGGCCTTTTAGGTGGGGTCAGAGAATGTCCCAAATCTCTGATGGATTGTTGACATTTGAGTGAACACGCAAACAATTGAAGTGCTCATTGCACAACCCAATGAACAATTCAATATGTGAGCAGTCGAGATCGAGAACGTGGAAGGAAATTGTGAGAAGGAACTCGAGAGGTGACATCAGGGGCTCGAGCTGAGACGCGTTGGCTGTCGATCCCCGACGCGTTTCCTCCAAAACACAACACAACAACATCCACACGCATCCATTAACCATAACACGACTCTTACGCTCACGATACGACAACAGGAGGCAGGATGTCCCAATCTCCAGTCCGCCAGCCATTGGCTCCCTCCACTACCAATGCTAATGTCAACCGTCTGAGCATTGCGTCTCTGCTGGAGAAACCACAAGAGAAACCTGCCGCAGTAAGACATCCACCCAGCTTCAGCCTTAACACCGACTAATCTTCCGCAGCCTGCCAAACGCAAGGCTGCCGAGATTGAAGAGATCGATAGCGATGATGACCGCCTCTGTCGCGTCGACAAGAACTGTAATCAAGTCCGTACACTGATTCGAAACTTCCTGAATGCTGGCGAGATGAAAGTCACCGAGTTCCAGAGAGCCATCGGCTGCTCGGCCAATGCATACACTCGATTCATGGGTCAGAATGGACCAGATAAAGGCAGCGGATCGGATGTGTACTACAACGCTTTCAAGTTCTTCAAGAAACGGGAGCTGCAGGGTATCAAATTGCCCAAGAAGAAGGCAAAGCCAGCCGAGGAAGCTGCAAAGAACGATGTTTCTGGCATTCACCTTGAGGGCGAAACAGATCAATCTGTACCCGTCTACGACTCCTGCGATGAAATCCGTAGAAAGATCAGGGCCTACCTTCCAACGCCCGGCGTCACCCAAGCTGGCTTCCTCCGCGAGATTGCGAAGACATACCCGGAAGGCAAGAAGATACAGTCAAAGGTGCTGAACGACTTCTTGGGTAAACGAGGACCAAATGCTGGAAATACAAGCTCGGTCTTCTATGGTTCGTACGTCTTCTTCGAGAAGATGCGCATCAGGGACAAAAAGCCAAAGTCCAAGCATAGGGAGACCATGGAGAAAGAATACGGAAGTGAGGGAATGGATACCAAACACAGGCTCGATGGTGGTATTTGGTGTTTGCAAGGAGAGCGACCATACGAGGATAAATACGGAAAAGTTCATATCGATGGTCGCTTTTGATCGACAAGCGCTCTCAGCACATTGTACACTATGTTTGGAGTTTTGGTAGATTTGTCTCCTCGAGGAATGTTGGCCATTGTTGATTTAGCTGGATTTGGTAGTTTTGTTTGTATTTGTATGTTGATTTGTATTTTGATTTTGCAAATGCGCAGGTAGATGTCGGCGGAGTCTAGCTGGTCATCTGCAAGGCACAAAGAGCGGGGAGAATATGCGGGGTGGCGGAATGCGGGGATGGTCGGCCGTTCTTTCGGCGTGCGTCGAGGAGCAGCAAGGACATCATTCCTTTCTGAGTATCGAGCTCGTTGTATCCTGACCGTAATCGTTTTGCCAAGCGGGTAGCTAAGGATCTTGGGATTTGTATTTGTCATAGCACGATGCAAGTCGTATCGATGCCTTTGTACCTTTTTCACATCTCAGTCTATATGAATTTAATCATTCCCCAAGAACAGAATGCTCAGCGCGGCACCCAGGCATCAAGCACCATGCGGCTCAAAGTTTGGCTCAGCTTTCCTTTTGTCTTCACTGGTGTTGCTGCTTCTGAGCTTTGCCTCGATCGATACGACTACATTGTTGTAGGCGGAGGGCCTGGCGGCCTGACTGTAGCAAATCGTCTGTCTGAGGTCTCGGGAATTTCTGTTGCTGTGATTGAAGCTGGCAGAGAAGTATTCAATAATCCGAATGTGACGAGCGTGGACGGCTTCACTACTGCCCTGAACACAGCGATTGACTGGCAATACATCTCAACAAATCAATCCTACGCATCAGGTCAGACTCTTGCATATCACGCAGGGAAGGCTTTGGGCGGAACGAGCACAATAAATGGTAGGGAATTGACCAGCATTCGTTCTGTTACTGAAACTGGCAGGAATGACCTATGTTCGCGCTGAAAAGTCACAGATCGACTCGTGGGGTGCCATTGGCAACGCTGGATGGAGTTGGGATGACCTTTTCTCGTACTACAAAAAAAGTGAGAGCCTGACCCTCCCGACTGCAGCGCAACTTTCATCTGGTGTCACTTTTGTACCCAATGACCATGGAGAGAGTGGTCCTCTGAAAGTCGGATATCCATATGGACTCTTAAATGGTTCTTTTCACACTGTTGTCGAGAACACTTGGCAAGCTCTTGATCTTCCCCATAATCCAGACGTCAATGGTGGCAGCGTTCGAGGTTATACGATATGGCAAAGCACGTTGGACATGGTAGCAAACGTGCGAGAAGATGCTGCAAGAGCATATTACTACCCTGTAGAACTCAGGCCGAATTTACATGTGTTCCTCAACACGACAGTCAACAGGATTGTGTGGGGAAACAGCGATGGAGCTGCTGTTGCGTCAGGGGTAGAGATTACTTTTTCGAATGGTTCCATTAGCATCCTGAAGAGCAGGCGCGAGGTGATCTTGTCAGCTGGATCATTGAGGAGTCCAGCTATTCTTGAGCTCTCGGGGATTGGAAACCCAAGGTACGAAGTCTACATTCGGTATATGTATCTACTAAGATCCATGTCAGCATTCTAGACAAGTACGGAATTGGTGTCAAAGTCGACCTACCTGGCGTTGGAGAGAATCTGCAGGATCAGCCGAACAACAATTTCATTTCTTCAACAAACTCAACCTTTAATGGCTCAATCGTTTACGTTGCTTACGGATCGATGCCCGATTTCTTTGATGATTGGGACGCGAACATAAATATCTCGTCGTATGCAGAGAGTGTTTCTGCTGCCATCAACAACACCATTGCCGCTGCCTCGTTGGAATACCTCTTCGGCATCCAATACAAACTCCTTCAAAACGGCATCCCCAACGCTGAAACGATCATGGAGACGACTTTGAATCTTGGGCTTGGACCGAATGGTCTCTTGGTCTCACCTTTCTGGCTCCTGATGCCCTTTTCTCGGGGCAATGTCCACATCAGCTCTAGGGACCCAAAAGTATATCCAACGATAAATCCAAACTTCTTCCTTGTAGACTTTGATCTCAAAGTCCAGATGGCACTTGCGAAATGGACGCGGAAGTTCTTGGCCACTGAACCGATGAAGAGTCTGATTACGGCTGAAGTTTCTCCTGGGTTCACTGCCCTGCCTGAAAATGCTACTGATGCAGAGTGGGAGAGCTGGGTGAAGACTGCTTGTAAGTGTGGTTCCTGATAGATAGAGTAATGCTAATTATGATAGTTTCTAGTAATTCTCATCCCCTTGGAACAGCTGCGATGATGCCTAGAAAGTTGGGAGGAGTTGTCGATGGAAAGCTTAAGGTTTATGGGACGGAGAATGTCCGGGTTGTGGATGCTTCTGTGATGCCATTTCAAGTAAGTGGGCATCTCACGAGTACGATCTATGCGATTGCAGAGAAGGCTTCGGACATGATCAAGGAAGCGATGTAGTAAAAGTTGTGGAGAGCTTTGTACTATCGGAGGCCTCCGGTAATCAATCCAGACGAAAGTGGGGTACGATCAAACCTCGCCTCATGCATATCTTATCTCATCTCATATCTATCCAGTTTCATCGCGTCCAAAGAACAAGAGTTCTCGATCTTGAACCCAATTTCTTTCACTACCATTCTCAAAATGCCTTCTGCAATACTACCCAGTTCTCCCTTGTTCACAATCCAACAACTCTCGCCGGAGCTCCGCAAAGATACTCTCATCGGGGCGGAAGTATTGCTAAACAACAGTGATGGCTCGATTGACCCATCAACATTCACTCCAGATAACATCTCAATCTTGCGCCAAGCCCTCTACGAGAACTCCGTACTCGTGTTCCGGAAGCAGCAAGGCATTGATCCTCTTGCTCTGGAACAATTGGCCGCAATCTGGGATGAGGATATGATTAATGTGCACTCTGCTGGCAAGGACCAAGTTCGTGATCCGAGGAGCATCTTATCACGCAACAATGGAGCAAGACTTCCTGCTGCTCCGAATGTGCAAGTGATTGGGAATGGAGAATTTCATAACTATGAGGGCCTTGAGTATATGAACTTGCGGCATGTTGTGAGTATCGCTCAAATACTTTCGAGGAATACCAGGCTTATGAAGAATCGCAGGACTCGGCAGAGTTCCACGCTGAACCATTGACTGAAGACGAACTCGCAGATGGGCAGACAAGATTCTATCGGTGGCATCAAGATGCTCCACTCTATGAAAATCTTCCTGGAAAAGTGACTCTGATCCACGCAGTGGTTGTGCCAAAACTGCCTAATCAGAAAATCAAATTTCAAGATGGGCAGGAGATGAAGCTACAAGCTGGATCAACAGCATGTGCGTAGATTTGCTCCAAACGCTTGTACAATTCTGACCAAGCAGTCATATCCGGAGCCAAGGCATTTCAGCTCCTCACCCCGGAAGAACAAGAATTCGCCCTCAACACAACGGTCCAGTATGCCCCGAGAGCATATGAATGGATTCGAAATGCAAAAGCTACATCTGATGGTTTGGGGATTGTAAAGGTTGGAGCCGAAGCAAAAGAAGAGGATCTCCCACCTTGGACCTGGGACAAGGTTCAAGCGTTCCCTGTTCGTCTACATTTATGTCTCAGATACCTACTAATAGCATCCCAGATGGCTTGGAAGAACCCAGGGAAACCTTCACAACCCCATCTCCAGATCCTCGGGTGCTGCGTTCATTCTCTTCGTACCACCGACACCAAGACTGGAGCAGTGACTGGAATCGATGATTTAGCAGAGACAAGGAGAATTTGTTATGAGATGCAGAGAAAGGTAGTAAAACCGCAACACGTGTATGCTCATCACTGGGAAGAAGGAGATTTGGTTATCTTCCATAATTATGGGGTTTGGCACTCAATTACGGGGCAGTTGGGAACTACGCAACGATTGATGTGGCAAGTTACGATGCGGAGTGGGAAAGAGCCAGAACCTGCGAGAATTAACCCCTGATGCGATGTAGGAAGTGCTTTCAATTTTGCTCTCTGAGAGCTGACCTCCTGTAAAATCAAATTTCCGTATTTAAGTCTGATTCAGGAAAGGCTGCCTAAGAAGACAAGGTTCAAAATCTCTCAAATAATCGTAATCTCGTCTTGAGACTATTTGTCTCAGGAGCTACCAAACTGGACGACAAATTCTTAAAGTCTTGGTTTCGATAACGGAGTTGCCTTTGTCACCTCCCTCGTCACCTCCCATATCGGCAACTTGGCTTTCCAGACCTCATCTTCCAGGACTTCGATCTTTCCATCTGCGGTAATGTACCTTACTTGATCTACTGATTTTGTGCCCCATGCCACCTTTCTACCATCGATGAAGGCAGCTATCGGCTTTAGCCATTCTCGAATGAAGACTTTCTCCGAATCTTCGAGAGTGTCCCCATTTCCAAAGAACCAAATTGACATGTCCGTAGTATGGGTGGCGCCAAATTCCCTTGGAAATTTCTTGTCAACACTCTTAGTCCGCCAGTCGATTCTGTATCGGTGGATGGTAGAAATTGGCAGTGACATCGAGATCGAGTTAACGTATCCTCGCATAGTGGAATGAATTTGCATATCGGCATAGAGTCTCCCAAAGATGTCTTTCCAATACTCTTTCGAAAGCGACACAACCGAAGACTTGTAAGGAGTAGAGACTGCTTCTGCAACGTGTCGAGGGTAGTCCCAACTAAGTCGATCAATCAAGCTGTGGTAAGATGTTGGCGGGTACACGTTCTTGTACCCATGGAACTCTTGCGTCAGATCTCCAATGACTGTCTGAATTCCGAGCTGATTGAGGCGTTCCCCGAAACGTCCCGAAAATATGCTTGGGAAGAGATCCTCCGACATGAAATCGCCGTCAAGGATGGGACGGAAGAACTTTTGCTTCATAGAATCAACGGCAGTGACAAGCAGATCTGCTGGCAAGCTCCTCAGCTTCTTCACCTTCTCGGCAGGACTGTCGCTTGAAGAGACCCCCAAAACATATAGCAGATCGTCGAATTGCTGCTGCACTTCAGACAAAACCTTGGGCTGTACGCCGCATCCATTCGATAATTGAAACACACGTCGAATTATTTGCTCTCTAGCATTCGGCCCAATGTCATAAGCAAGTTGGTGAAATGTAGCATATGACCCTGCAGAGAGACCACCCACTGTGATGTTCTCCGGATTACCACCGAAATATCTGATGTTCTCGTAAGTCCATTCCAGAGCCAGACGTTGATCCCAGAATCCGAAATTTGCAGCTGGTGAGCCGTCTTCCCATAGTTCTCTGGATGCCAGGAATCCGAACAGCCCAAGTCGATACCCGGGCGAGACGATGATGCATTTGACGTCCGTTTCAGCAATGAGAGCCGAGGGGTCATCATAGTTGTTGGAGCCGAATTGAAGGAAACCGCCATCTTCGGCTGTTAGTCAAAGCTAAAAGTATCTCTGCTTACAAGAACTCACGAATGTAAAAGAGTACGGGCCATCCATCCTTGGGGGGTTTCCCGAGAGGAACCCAAATGTTTGACTGTAAACAGTCTTCATCATGCCTCGGGGATTGACGTCCAAAGACTCGAGGCTGAGGGCAGACAGAGCTCGGCTTCCTGTATTGCCCTGGAGCTGCATCTGATCCGTACGAAAACGATTCAGGAAGAGGTTGTGGTTTTCGCCAACGATAGTGGCCGACAGGTGGGGTAGCATACGGCACACGCGAGAAACGATGGCATTTTGGCTTCTGCGTCACAGAGTCTAATAGTGTGACGCCCTCGAGAACGCCTTTGCCAGGATTGATAACTTTCATTGCGGCGAGGAAAGCCTGTAAGCCCTCTGGTTATGAGGACAGGAGGGGATGAGGTGGGATGATAACCGAGGTTGATACCACGTGATGACCGTTTACCCCTTTTCTTGGAGTTTGCATTAGCAGGAAAGAAGATCCGACGAGTAACGTGCATCCCTGCGTCGAGAGACGCACCCCGTGACGAGACGAACCATCGGTACTTTGAATTCAATTGATTCTAAATTTGTGAATCCATTGAAAATTCCAGTATTTTTATATCAATCATATTATATGACCACTTCTAAACAGTCCAAACCCTGGCTACTCTGAAAATTACGATTGCATTGTCGCTGTCGCGCCTAATTGCACAAGATGTTATTTATAGTAAAATAGGACCCCTTGTCCTATAACACTATAACGAGCTCTTTGCGCCTTTTGAACTTATAAAACAGTTTGATTTGGGTTTCCGAGCCTCGCCACAATACTGAAAAAATATTATTAGCCTTGTGGTGACTGGGGAGTACTTTATTATGCAACGTCGCCACATGGGTTAATACCTCCAATCAAGCGATCAAGGGTTCCTGGTCATGGTTACAGTAATTAAATTACGGCGTATTTATCAAAGGCTGTGGCTGCACGGCTGCTAAGCGTGTGGCTGCGTGTGGCGGACTACCGAGAATTCCGTTTTCTCGATATACTCCGAGTTGCACCGTACCCTCTCAAGTGGGAGCAAAAAGTGGCCGATATTGCCCAAATCGGCTGACTTCTCTTTCGGCTGTCGCGACGAACTTTAATAGAACGATCAATATCTACAGTTGTCAGCCCTGGTATCCATAGGGAATCCGCTCCTTTATCGCCGCCACTGCCACTATTAATTACTGTGTTGCGTCCTTTAAAGCTGGTCTATACATCAGCAAGTCCCACCTCATATCTGTCATATATAGAAATATAGACTAATCTAAAAGATTCTAGAGACCAAGTGGCAATTACAATTTACTATAAATCTACCCGCTCCCCTAGAACCCTCTATGAAATAGAGATAAAAAGAAAAAATATATAATATATGGAGATAGTAGATAATACAATGTTTTACTCTATACTACGTCGAGCCTATAAGCTTGGGCCTTGGTTTAAACTGAAGACACGAAAGTCTTCCTAACGAATGTCCTAAAACCATAGATTCTCTTCCAGTACTCGTCGGTTCATCGACTCTGCCTCTTCATATCTTCCCTGGCTCT